CTGGAATTCTTGAAAAACTATATTTTCAGGCTATGTACAGATGGCGCAGGTTTTCAACCTTATGATCAAGTTTTCCGATGAGCATAAGTTGAAAATTCCGCGACTTCACTTCAAACAGGAAGGCTTGAGACCGTATGATGCGCTAAGTCGTAATATGAAGAAGTCTGTGAAGGAAGCCCTCTAAGTATTGGATAAACACCTTGGATTATCAGTTAACATATATACATCGCAGTTCCAATTCTCTCAACCGCGACAGGAACATGGTGAGGGGCTGGATAATTTCAATTCACGTCTGATTTATGTTATCCGTCAATGAGGTTGCAGTTTAGTCTAAGAGAAGGAAAGTGAAGACTTCTTTCTAATCCAACGGCTAATATCCGGAATGTTGGGCTGGAAGTCTCTAGAATCATTGATGTCGGAAGATTCCAGCAAGTTCCTCTGAGATAGTGCTTGTGATCTTGCCCGAACAAACATCGATGTTCAGAAGCAAACTAAACGGATTGCCTCCACTACAACAAATATGGATAACGCCCCTGTGAATTTTGCGTCATTTGCTACCTCTCCTCTGATGTTTTCTCACAAAGTTGTTGTCGATCTGACAGTCAACGGTATTGAGTCAACTGTAAAACTTGTTCGGCATTCACTGTCACTTATGGTTTATGCGGCACATCTGGCCGGTTTGCTCGAGTTTGTCGTTCATGTACTGTTGCAAACAAACCCTATACGATCTGATGCAATTTCCTTGAACAAATCGGACGCAGAAACCATTCATTAAGCCATCAATTTTTTATCGTTACTTTTTTGATTTAATCAAAACTACCTCAGTGTGATATTTGTACAGATTTCTTTGGACTAAGTGATCACATATTGTCACCTCAGATGGAACTAGACTTAACATCTTTCATCACGCTTATTTCATATGATTTTGTCATTGTTATTTTGTTTCTTCATCTGTTCATCCCTCATCATATACGTTTGTAAGTAACTTGAAAAACATTGTGTCACACCTGGGACACACAAATACTACGCTTTTTATAAACGGTAATTCCGAGTGTACCGTGGTAGTCTACGTTTCGAACGGTAACAACAAATCGCTGTTGAAACGGGCCGAGATGGTTTCTCCGAAGGCTACACCCTACCCAGATAGAATGATGTCCAGATAGATTTTCTGAGGTCGTTATATCCGAAACTTAGTAGAACAGTCAAAAAGGTAAATACACACGATTTATGACCTGTCAAATTTCTCTGCATATTATCAAGTGCGTACTGCAGAACGAGTAATTATTGAACATAAAACAGGGGTCAATTTTGAAACTAGACATATAAGGAAACACACGGTGGATCTGTTCGTTAATCAGACAAAAGCATCATTACCATGGGATTGATAAACTAACAAAAGAGTCTTTCTGTACACACAGAGGTGGACACCAAACCTTCAGAGCAACTGCCTCAGCAAATCGTAACAATCGGGGCTTATCAGTTGCGTAAACAACTGTGAATACCTGCGTAGGGTGATGGTTCTCCAGACGGTGACGAACGATTGGTGCTATCGGTGGATTGTGTGGCGGTTGCTGGGTGCACACATGGGTATCAGTTTGCATCTGCATCACTGCTGTGCTAAAATTTGTTTCGCGAAAATGCTGCTCTACATATCCGAATGTAGATTGAACATCACCCACAATTGATCGCAGCTGTCGCATTCCCATAGACTTTCCAGTCGGCCCCTTTCGAAAAGAAGCACTAGACTCGAGTTTCGCTCTCATTAGAGCTCGTCAGTAGTGCATATCATCGCCGCTGCCGGGACTTGAACCACGGACATGCTGTTCATGAGGCAACCGTGTTTAACACTACGCCATTGACCTCACATTAGGCACGACCAAATTATCATATGTGAACACTCAACTCGAGGCGGTCGGGCAACCTGATCATTACTCACAAGCGAAAGTGGTTGAGTGTTCACATATGATAATCCGGTCGTGCCTAACGTGAGGTCAATGGCGCAGTGGTAAACACGGTTGCCTCATGAACAGCATGTCCGTGGTTCAAGTCCCGGCAGCGGCGATGATATGCACTACTGACGAGTTCTAATGAGAGCGAAACTCGAGTCTAGTGCTTCTTTTCGAAAGGGGCCGACTGGAAAGTCTATGGGAATGCGACAGCTGCGATCAATTGTGGGTTATGTTCAATCTATATGAAAATCAAAATCCCCTACTACTCATCTATATCCGAATGTATTTACCGGCAATATTAGAAAACTTCCTAAGAAAAGGCATTGAATGAGAATGAAAGCCAATGTCACCCCACCAAGTATATCACAGCCTCGACCGATGCCGCTGTCCAAAGAAGAGATTGTCTCTGTTGCCCCCAAGACATGATTCGAAAGGATCTGATCAAACCGGGTTATTGTTCAGAATGGGTGCATCCGATAGTCGCCGTTCTAAAACAGGACGAATCTATTCAAGTTTGCAGCGGATTATTTATGCTCAACAGTATCATCGTCAGAGCGAAGGTTGCCCAAACTACCACAAACGAACCAGTTGACAAGCTATCTGTAGCAACGGTACTTTTAGAATTTAGTGTTGAAATTGCCCACTTTTCGTGGGTCTGACTGTCGATTCGAGACTACTGAGGGCGGTCTGTATTAGTACAAGCTGTTTCATTGTGTCTCAGCAGTGTCCTTGCAGTATGGCAATGGCTCATTACAGTTAGGTTAGTTGATTCAAAAGGCAGTGCCACTCAAATGGAAGATGTTTTTACCCTTCGAAAATCCTCTTAAACCCACGATTCTACTCAATATTTCGCGCATCGCCGACTAGGTGACCTAGATTTACGATTCACTTAATGAAAGTGCCGGTTTGCTATGGAGAATGTTGAGTCTCTCAGTCAGCGGAAAGCACGCCGTAGGTTTACATGTAATGTGATGGAGCAGGTGCCGAAGATATGTATGTGAGCCCAGTTGGAGCGATGTGTGTGCTCATTTTCAGGCTGGCCGATATCGACTTGGACCTTGTCGTCTAGCGAGAAACCCAACTTTGATTTCCTGTCGAGTATAAAAGTAAGCAACCAGCAGTAGGAATGTAGACGACGGCGGTCGCCATTACCTCCCAGCAATCGTGTTTTCCGAAGCAGTTAAGAAACTGCACGGTTTGATATATTTCTCTGCCTTGTTTCCGAATCTGTCTTGATCCCAGCGGTAGCGCGTTCTTTGAGCACGAAAGTGAGAGTGAGATCGAAAACTTTTGAGAGCCTGAGTTTCTAATCAAACTTTTCTTACCTGCGCAGCTACGTCGGCGGTTATGCCATCTGTGTGTGTTTCATCATGCTCAAGAAATACTCGATGGTTGAGTCGGTGCGCCCTATATTGGACCGAACTTCCGCACGTCGCGTCTGTTGCCGATCGACTTAGACGAGTCAGATGAAGCGTCCTCACCCGATCCGCCACGACCACACTCTAATGATGAGCGCCGTAACATGACTGAAGACTGCCGGCTAGATCTCGCTCAACCCCAGTAGCCGCACTACACAGCTGCAGTCGATTCAGCTACCCTACTACTAGTCGAAGCTCGAAGAGTGTTATCTAGCGTTACCAATCGCAACGCCGCATTCAGTCATCTTCCCGCTATTGTTGATAGCCGGCTGAACAAACCCAACACCACGGAAAGGTTCCAGAATGCTGTGGAGGAGTTCTGTTGAACCTGGTACCCTCACCGATGGGTTCAGAAGCAAAAAGGGCCTGTTGTTCTGCCACGACTGATTAACCGCCACCAACGGCGTCAACTACAATACGGTTACATCCAGAACCTCTTCCGTAGGGACAGGAAAGACGCAGCATCAACGGTTCCAGATGGCCCCTGGCGGGAAGCGTTTAATTCTCTTAATGACCGGGTGGAGGGTTTCAGTCCCTACTAGACAACTGTGTTTGAGCAACCAGCCTTTAGGGACGAACGGGCCTCGAGGATGGTCGTCCTGACAAACGAAAGTGTGTTGAAGCCTATCACTGCTATCAAGATACCGACCACACTATCGACCCTCAAAGGTTTTTCCCCTGGTATGGACAACCTCACACCAACCCAGTTGCTCAAGCGGAAAGCCGGTTCAATCGCTGCATTTTGAACGTTTTACTGTCTGCAAAAAAGCTGTCAGACCATTTGAATGTCGCCCGAATCACTTTTGACCCAATATCCCCCTCCTCTTCTCACCCCTCTGACTTCCGCCCGATATCCGTAACTTCCGTTTTTGTCCACCTTCTACACAAAATTATTCTCAAACTATGGGTCTCCGACTTTCCGACTGAGCGACTCCAGTTTGGTTTTCTTCAAAGAGATGGTTGTTTCGAAGTCACCACCATTTTACATGCCGTTCTCCGTCATTCTCATACTTTTTGTAGAAACGCTTCTTTTGCCTCCTTGGATATTTCCAAAGCTTCTGACTCTATTTCTCATGATTTCATTTTGAGGGCAGCCGCATCCTTCGGTGATCCCCCTCTTCTTTGACAATATCTGTGCAGCTGCTACAGTGCGGCTACTTCTGTTTTCGAAGACACTGTTGTCCACACTCAACGAGGCATGCGGCAAGGTGATTCACTCTCCCCTCTTCTTTTCATCATGGCGATGGATGAGGCCCTCAATGAGACCTCCTTCTTCCCATAGTCATCTCCGGCTGGTCATCTGGACTATCTGGCCTTCGCGGATGACGTCATTCTTTTCGCGGAAGATAGGGTTAATTTCGAGGACAGGCTTACCAACCTAGCCTCCCAGCTGGAACTCTTGGGACTGTCCATCAACAGCAACAAATCCACCTGTATCAACGTTATGGCCGACGGCCGCAGAAAAATCACAGTGCTGGACGACAGGCCAATCGCCATTTTTTCCTCTCCCATTTCTTGTTTGTCGGTAATCAATAGCTTCACGTTTTTGGGCGTCCCGTTCAACAAGAAAGGCAAGCTACCGACCACAGCAATCAAGAACTTGGACAAAATGCTATGGGAGCGCATGGATCTT